CCAATCAGCTCAAGTGCAGAAACCATAACTAAAACTAAGCTACTTGACTTTACAGATAGCCCTGAAACTAACAGTCTCGATCAACTCAAACCTAAATGATGGTCAGACCTGTTTACCAAACTCAGAGGTAGCAAAGCTACTTACAAACAAGAGGTTCCCAAAAACAAAATCCTCTCCAAAAATGAAAATGTTCTGGTCTTTAATATCCAAATTCTAAACAACATATCTACAAACAATATTATTCTATCCTTAGCAAATTCCCTTAGTGAAGACCTCCTAGCTACCAAATCTCATTTTAGCAAAGGTAAAAGAGCCTACCTAGAAGTGGTTTTCAAAAATGAAGCTCAATAGCAACACTATATAACAGAAGAGATTAATATATTTAAGCAAACAATTTTTGGATATATTTCTATCAACTTAAAGAGAAGCTTTCTCTCTGTTAAGGTTAGAAATACACCTTTAGGAAACAAAGACCAGACAAATAAACTCTTCTTAGAAACTTTTTAAGATTTTGGAATTATTTCTTCAGTTAAGCCTCTACTCTTTGAGGGAATCTCAGTTTGCTTAGATCAGTAGATTGTCTCATTTAAGACAATCGAAGACCTAAACCTTTCTAAAAGGCTCCCAAGGACTACATATATTGGTGACTACAAAGTTAGCACTGAATAGAAAGAAGCTCCAAAAATATGCTATTACTGTGAAAAAGAAGACTACATAAAGAAAAATTACTTTACGTGCACACTACAAAGAATTAAAATTACAAAAAGAAAAAATCCACACTCATGCTGAGACTCAGCCAGAATCTAGCTCAAATAACCTCTATGTCCAAGCTCAGACTGGACAAAAATTACAACTCTCAGCAACTAAGGAGGAAATCCCTATTCTACCAACAAAGATGGCTAATGAAAAAAGAAACTCTCTAAACCAATATTATACCACAGGAAAAATAGAGAACAACAACTCAAACCTATTACAAAAGACAAACACCTCATCTTCTGATTCAAAACTTTCTGAACCAGAAGGTGAAACTGTAACAGCAGATATACAAAAAAACAAAAAAAGGAAGAATAAGAAAGGAATACATAAGAATGATATAGTAATAACAGAGGCAACTATCTTTGGACAAGGCTTCTCTTCTCATTAGATCATCTCATAATCAACAATAACAACCCAAAAACAATCTCATTCAATTATGAAAAAAATTACAATCACAACTCTCAATATAAAAGGTCTAAACAACAAGGCCAAAATACACAAAACTCTAATTCTCTTAAAATCATATAATCTAGATATCATTACACTTCAAGAAACAAACCTCAATAATACAAACTCCAAAAATTTCTTAGCTCAGCAATGGAATTTCAACTCTTTTTAGTTTTCAAAAGTAGCAATTTTAGCTAGTAACAAACAAACCAAAATAATTGAAGCAAGAACCTCTTTTGATGATCGAGTAATCCAAGCAAAAATTTCTTATAAAAATAATACCTTCTTGGTCACCAACATATATGCATCTCCAAACCTAAGAGACAGAATTAATTTCTTCAATAGCTAGTCTCCAACGATCGATGAAAACTATATAAACCTTATAACAAGGGATTTTAATATAAATTTAAACCCTAACAGAGCCTGCTCTAAGAGTGAGATCATCTGCATAAGCAGCTATTTTAAAAGTTGATCCCAAGATATTTATGCTCTAATGTATTCTTAAATAGATTGGATCAAGGGATTGATTACTAAGTCATATAGTAGAGGTGAAAGAGAGTCTCTCTGTCTTACTCCTCATTTGACTTTAAAGGGCTCTGAGAGATTGCCTGAGTCTAGGATATAAGCTTGTTGAGAGGCAAAAAGTAAGACTATGATTTTAATAAATTTGTTTTCAAAACTCATTTTGTTGAGGACTAGTTGCATGAATTGATAGCTAACTCTGTTGAATACTTTTTGTTGATCTAAAAAGAGGAGCCAGTGTTGCTTGAACTGGTCTAGTTGGTTTCTTAGTATTGTTATGATGTCTAAAGCAGTATCAGAAATAGATCTTCCAGAAACAAACACCTGTTAAGCTGAGTTGATAACTTCATCGCATGTAATATTTAGTCAGTTTGCTAATATCTTCATGAAAATTTTAGTATCACTATTAACCAGGGATATTCATATGTAAGCCCATCTGGGCCTAGAGATTTGTTGTTTGGAAGTTTGTCAATTATTGATTTGATTTCTTCCTCTGTTATCTCTTTAATTAAGGCACTATTTGCATTTTGTGAGATTTTTGGAGTATTATGTAGGAGTTTCTCTACTATTAGGAGATCAATACTTTCTGACTTGTAGATATTCTCATAGTAGCATTTGATATATGATAAGGTGTTGGCTATGTCTGATAGACCAGAATAGTTTGGATCCTTAATCTTCGAGCTACCAGATGTTGTATATCTAATTTTGTATCAAGCAAAAAAGTACTTTGTAGATTTTTCCCCTTCCTCAATCCATTTAGCATTAGATCTAATTTGCCAATTCTCTGAAAAGAGTTGTAGTTCATCTTGAAGCTATGCTTTAGTTTCTTCAAGTGCTGATTGAAGATCTGTAAGTCTGTGGTCTCTGGCTATTCAGTTGCTTATACCTGTTAGTCTTCTTTGCAGAATTTGAATCTTCTTTTCTGGGGGAGGATTTTGTTTAGCTTCTCTAATTATTGATTGGATCATGCATTTATGCAGGTCCCATTTATCAAGGTTTTCAATTCTCTGAAGTTCTTTGAGGACTTCGTCTCTAGTTTCTAGGTTAGAAAGAG